TTTTTTTTGGTTGCAGCTGTCATTGTTGTTTGGTGGGTCCGGGCTGGATTCGAACCCGCCACCTTGGGTGTATGTGGCTGGTGCCCTAGCCACTTGAGCCACAGGTGCCGAGCCAATCCATACTTCTTTTAAAGATTACCATGAGTATATTTATTTCTGTATAGGAGCCTATAAAAGTCTTTAATTTTTATATAGTGAACCTTTTCTTTTGTGAGTTCATGTTTCAGATTATACTTAGGCCATTACCTCCCTAGAGTTTGAAAAGTATTATTTTATATTTCCTTCCTACATTTTTGTAGCTTTTAAAATGAGCTTTATTTACAGATGATAAAATGAACCAATTTAAAGTGTACAATTCTATGAGTTTTGACAAATGTATACTCTGTGCTATGGTTTGGATATTTAATTTTCCTAATCTCATGTTGAAATTTGATCCCCAGTGTTGGAGTGGGGCCTAATGGGAGGTGTTTGGGTCACGGAAGTGGATCCCTCATGAATGGCTTGGTGCCTTCATGGAGGTAGTAAGTGAGTTCTCACTTTATTAGTTCTCACAGGACCTGGATGTTAAAAAGAACCTGGCACCTCTCCATTTCTCTTTGTTGCTTTCTCGCTTACCATGTGATAGCTGCACATGTCAGCTCCCTTTCCTCTTCCACAATAAGTGGAAGCAGTCTGAGGCCCTCACCCAAAGCCAAGAAGTTCCTGGTGCTATGCTTCTTATACAGGCTATAAATCTGCAAGCCAAATAGACCTCTTTTCTGGAAAAATTACCCAGCCTCAGGGATTTCTCTATGGCAACACTAATGACTAAGACAGCCCATGTAACCAGTGAGAGTCAAGAAACAGATCATTTCTAGAGCCACAAAGAATCACCTATGCAGTTTCCTTTATAGCTAAATGCCGCTTCACCTTGGCCCCAGGCAACTATTGATCTATTAGTTGTCACCATAGATTAGTTATTTTTCACTTTGGAACCCCAGAACTGCAGCTTTTGTGTGATACTTCTTTCACATTGTTTAATGTTCTTGAGACCCATCCAGGTTGTTGATATATCAGTAGTTTATTCTTTTTATTGCAAAATAGTACTTCATTGTATGGCTATATCCCACTTTATTTATCCATTCACCCACTGATAAAAATTTGAGTTGTTTCTACCTTTTGGTTATTGTGAATAATGCTGCTATGAAAACACGTATATAAGTTTTTGTTTGAATAGCTATTTAAATTATTTGGGGCATATGCCTAGGAAAGAAACCAAGCATTAAAATTAAACACTTGGCAATTTTAATTGCCAACATTTTTTCCAAAGTGGTTGTGCCATATTTAACACTAAATGTTTAAATACATCTGGAGTTTATTTTTGTGTAGGATATTAGGTATAAATCTATTTTCTGTGAAATGGAAGTAAGTCCATGTAGGTTAAGTAAGATTGCCTCTTTTGCTCAGCACTGCACTCCAGTGCCTAGAATAGTGGCTAAAAAGTAGGCACACAAATGTTTCTTGAATGAAGGAGCTAACAATCAAATGAACTGTCCCAATACTATTTAGTGATAATCTATCCTATTTTTTACAATGATTTGAAGTAATAACTTTACTAAATATACATTCTTACATATACATGGGCCCATGTCTGGGCTCTGTTCAATTCCACTAATTTATTTGTCCATTTTAAGCTATTACTTACACTTCTAAAAATTTCTGTAGTTTTAGAGTATGGTTATATATCATGTATTACTAACTTTTAACACTTTGTCATATTTTACCCTGAACAGAAATGATTAGATAAACCAAGGTAATTTCCCCTTTTCTCTTCAAAAAGTAATTGCCTATAACACTTGAAAGCTTCCCCTTTGTCCTCAATGATGACCTTGCCAGTAATTGAGGAAGAGTACACAGAACGATAACAATGAGGAATTCAGGGTTAGTCAGAAAGTATAGCTGGGGAGGTATGTATATTGGGGGAAAAGTACGTTAGTATGCATGTTGTATTAAGTTTTTTGTTCTTTTGTCTTGTATAGGAATCCCTTCTACATTTATTAACAATAAAGGATTTTCTCTCTCATGCCTTTCCTTTTATCAGTCTGTTCATCCATCTCTTTCAGTTCTCACAATAGGCTAGTACTGGTATGCTAGATCTAGTTCATTACTGGCTCACAAAGGCCAACTATTAGGAAACAGATACCATGTTAGTTGCTTGAAATCAGCTGTGTTGGGGTACTATGGCATGGAAACTGGAACACAAAACAAATCAGTGCCTTCCTTGCTCCTGAAAACTGGTTGTTAAGCAAGTATCAGCACACCATTGAGTAGGTCTATCACAAAGCTCTTTTCCTGTCCCTCCTCCTTTCTTATTCTAGCTTGCATTTACAGTATTCATGGTCCCCAGGGTTCAAAAGATATGTTGGGAGCAGGATCATAGAACTCTTGGGAAAGGAAACCCAAGGATAACTTGTACTCATCAATTTGATTCTGTCAGCTGAGTATTTCAGGGGTCACTGCCTATACTCAAGAAAAAAAAATTCTTACCTGAGCCATTATGGATCTTGGTTACTGAGTCCAGATGTGTAAGGCTAATGGGATGAAATAGTTTTAGTTAGTAGCAAAGTAGCACTGAAGGGAAAACAAAATGGGCATGGACTAAAACAAAACAATTAACTGTATTAAACCTTTGCCAACTGGATTAAATGAATATATACAATTTAAGTTCCCACATTTGATGGTTTAGGATATATGATTTTATTAAAAAACTCAAGAGATAATTTAAAGAGATAATTTTGAAATTATTGTCTCTGACTGAAGCCTTGACATAGTATATACTGTTTGGACAAGACCTTGTGTTTGGCAGGCAACAGGACTACTAAAATGTTGTGGTTTATCTTGTTTTCACAACCAAAGAATAAAGTGTCTTTGCCTTTGAAGGACCCAAAGTGTAGGAGGAGAAAAACAAATGTTAAAGAGATTGTTATCATATAGTGTGATTGGACATTGCTATAAAGCCTTCACACATAGGCTCAAGCCCCTGAAAGGAAAGGGGGCTCAAAAATTGCTAAAGATAAAAGGACAGAAGAAGGTCTCTACCTATGGATCCTCCTGTATGCATCCTGCTCCTCCTGGCACAAGATCTTGGGCAGCTCTACTGCTGATTCAAGGCACACTTTCCCGATGGTGACATGAGGTACAATGTGGATTGGGATTTCAATTCTCTCATACCTGTGCAAGGCAATCAGTTCAGGTCAGTTTTTAAACCCTGAGTTGTCTTAATCAGAAATTCTCTATAGTTTTAATTAAAGACTAAGTGTTCTTATAATTCATTTAGTGGATCAACTTCAAACTGGACAGAGTTCCAACTGGATTCATTTAGGGAGTAAGTGGGAAGCCTATTTGCAGAATCAGTACTTTCATAGAAAATCTGAGGCCAGTTCTAGTAACTTAACAGAAGCCTTGGGAGCTTAAGGTCCTTATGTCTGCTCCCAAGTCAAGGGAAATAGATAATTAATACTAATTTCAGTTAGAAAGCTGTCAATGAAGTTGAACAAATTAATCACAAAGTCTGGATAACAGGCATTACAGACTCTTCGATGACTCCATCAGATTCATTTGTTCTAATTCAGTGTTCACAGGTAGTCCTCACTTTCCATTCTCTCCCCTGTGGGGAGATAGGTAAGAAATTCAGAAATACTTGCATTTTCATGATATAGTGAGAGAAACAGATCTGCTTGTTACTAAGGCCAACCAATTTACCTTAACCCACTTCTTACCCTAAATACTCCTAAATTCTACCTAATAGTGGGTTCAGTGGAGAATTAAGGCTGATTGAGAGCCCCCGGCACCATGAGGCATCAATAGCATATGGTGGTAAAGCAGTATAAGATCTAGTTCCCCATTTTCTCTTCCCCACCAGAGTATATCTAGGACCCATACTAAGATGGAACACAAACGATAGGGAATTATAAGCCTCTGTCCTTCCCTACACCCAAGTAGTCAAGGATGAATTCATGAGAACGTGCCATAGTTGTTGGTGGTTTCCAAAATGCCCTTTGGAGTAATACACAGTGACTATTGTTATTGATGGTTCCAGAAACACTGAAGAAGTCAATATGTGGCAGGAGCATGAGCAGAAATGATTCTAATAGTCCACTGCTTTGGACACACAACTTCATAAATTCATAGAGGAACCTGGTAGAGCTTCCATCAGTTTATTCAAAACTGTAATTCCTAGACCTAGGTACGCAGACATCCAAAACTTATGATTTTACTTCTACTAATGAACTAGATGATTTAAAACCAATCCTACTTTGAAAGAAAATTAAATAGCTGAGCCAAATAAAACAGCATCTGTTGGAAGTCACTGGAGAGCTGCTAAGGCAACCAATAATAGTGGGAGCAACATCTGGGAGAAGAGGCAAACTCAGAAAGATAAGCTGGACACGTAGGGACAGTTTTCCGAGAAAGGCACCTACTGACTCCAGAGGAGGATGTTTACAAGCCAAGAAGTTGAGAAGGGTTTTCCTTTCCTGCTAACTTTATCCTATAGGATTTGCTAAGAATATGGAGGCATAAGAAAGTGGGACCTGAGCTGGAAAGAAGAAAGAGAGATCTTCATTATTTCATGTTTCTTAGATCTAAAATTCCTCCTAAGGAGTGGGAAATCGAATACTTACAGGGCAGATTTCTCTTGTGTTCAAAGTGTAGCAAACCAGAGAACAATTACAGTAGCAACACAACTCATGCAAGTAGCTTCTGATTGGATAGAAGTACTAAGTTTTTATCCCAGCTGATACAACAATGGACATGCTTTCCCCGGGAAAAATAATACTTAGTCTAATATCTATGGTCATTTTTAATGACTGTGCCATACAGTATAAAAAAGGGACATGTGAAGAAACAAGAAAATGTGACAGATGATCAAAACAAAAGGTCAATAAAGAAAGGCCCACAGACAACACAGATACTGCAATTAGTAGATAAGGAACTTTAGAGTAATTATTAAAAATATGTAAAAAAAAATAGAGGGGAAGATGGAAAAAATGGATGAGAAAACAGAGAAAATATCTTTCTAAGATCCTGCTTTCAATTGTTTTAGATACATACCCAGAAGTGGTATTGGCGGATCTCATGTTAGACTATTTTAAATGATTTTTTTTCGAGTTTTTCGTCAGGGCTGGGTTTGAACCCACCACCTCTGGCATATGGGGCCAGTGCCCTACTCCTGTGAGCCACAGGCACCGCCTGACTATTTTTAATTTTTAAAGCCACTTTCATACTGTTTTTCATAGAGGTTGTGCCATTTTACAATCTCAACAATAGTGCACAAGGGTTCCAACTCCTCCAAATCCCTACCAACGTTTGTTGTTTTCTGATTTTTTAAAAAATAATAGCCATCATAATGGGTGTAAGGTGGTATCTCATTTTGGTTTTGAAATGGATGTCTCTAATGACCACGGATGTCAAGCATTTTTTGATATGCTTGTCCATTTGCATATAAACTTTGGAGGAATATGTATTCACATCTTGTCAACATTTAAATCAAGTTTTATTTTTCTTTATTAAGTTGTAGCAGATCTTTATATGTTCCAGACATTAACCCCTTATCAGATATATGATTTGCAATTATTTTTCTCACCCTATAAGGTTGCCTTTTCACTGGGTTGATTGTTTCCTTTGTTGCACAGAAGATTTTGAGTTTGATATAATCCGATTGGTCTACTTTTGCTTTTGTTGGCTGTGCTTTTGGTGTCACATCCAATAAGTCACTGTCAAATCTAGTATCATGAAGATTTCCCCCAATGCTTGCTTCTATGACTGTAACAGTTTAAGGTTTTATGTTTAGGTCTTTAATTCATTTTGCGTTAACTTTTGTGCATGGTTATAAGGATCCAGCTTCTTTCTTTTGCATATGGATATCCAGTTTTTCCAATGTCATTTATTGAAGAGATTGTCCTTTCCCAATTTAGTGGTCTTGACACTCTTGTTGAAGTTCATTCAACCATATATGTGAGAGTTTAATTCTGGACTCACTATTCTCTTTCACTGGTCTATATACCAGCACCACACTGTTTATATTACTTTAGCTTTGTAGTTACATTTGAAATCAGACAGTGAAAATTGTCTACATTGTTCTTTTTCAAAATCATTTTGGTTATTTGGGATCTCTTGAGATTCCATATGAACATTATGATGGATTATTCTATTTCTGCAAAAAAGAAGAATGCCACTGGGATTTTGATAGTGAATGCAAAACCCATTATTGTGGGTTTTCTACATGTAAAATCACGACATTTGTAAACAGAGATGAATCACTTCTCCCTTAAATCTATAGATAGCTTTGGGTAGCATTGTATCTTAACAATGTTAACCCTTTTTGTTTCTATTTTTCTACCACCCACATACCCCACTTTTTATTTGAGGTTGGTATATTATTTGCAATTATCTTACAACTTTATAAGAGAACTCATCTGATGATTTTATTATCTCTTTTAGGTTACATAAAATAAAGGGGTTTTGTTTATGTATAATTTTTTGAGTGTGATACTTCTTAAAGCAATCTCGAGGATGAAGTCCAGGCTTCCTCTTGTATGTCTTGCAGTAGAAAATGGTTTCTCTCCTCCCACCTTTCTTATTTCTTCTGCTACTAACCATAAACTTTTGTTCTTTTATCATTCTGCATTATAAAAAGTATCTTCCCATTTAGCATTTCCTCAGTGTCAGAAGATGATGGCCTTCCCCTCTTTTTAAAATTTCTGTTCCTCACATTGCTCACGAGCTGAGTGATGAGATTTCTCCTGTAAGAAAAGTGTGCCTGCACTTTTTCTCCACTCTCCTTCTTATCTAATGAGTAAATTATGTAGCTATTCACAAGTGTAACAGTAGGACTTCCTTGTAAATCCATAACATCCACCATACTAATCAGCTCTATACTACTCATCCAATAAACTGTATGTATTCTTAGATAACTGTTTTTCAAATTGAACAGCCTGTTTCTTCCTATAACTAGTGATTAACTATATTTGAGGGCCAAAAAATATACTCAGCATTGTCACTAACCTCTTCTCATGGAATGAGAGGCAAATCATTTTCATCACATTGATAGGCACATAATTCATATTCCTGAAGTTTCTTCTTTTTCAAATCATTTGGAAAATCCTTCATAGAAGCCATAACTGTTCATATTATACGGATTTTCATTTTATGCAGTTCCTGTGAAATTTGAGATCTTGTGCACAGTACAACAATAACAAAAAATGTCAGTCCTCTTCTGACATCAGAGCAGAACAAGAAAATCATTATGTGGGATGAGATCCAACATAGGATAGGAAAAAGTTAAAATATCCAATCAATGAGCTCAGGATGTCTTTCATTTGGATGTTTCCTTAATTTTTTTCAGCAACTATTCATATTTTTGAATGAACAAGTCTGTCACCTCCTTTGTATGCATAAGTATTTTGTTCTTTTTGATATTACTGTAAATGATATTTTAAAATTTCCACTTCTTACTGTTCATTGTTAGTGTATAGAAATATCACTGATTGGGGGTGTTGGTTTTTGTTATCTTCTACTTTGCTGTATTCATTTATTAGTTCTAACAGTCTTTATTGTGGGTTTTCTATATTAGGATTATGTCATTTACAAACACAGATAAATCACTTCTTGCCTCCCAATTTCAATGCCTTTTTTAAAAATTGTTTTTTATTAAATCATAACTTTGTACATTGATGCATTTATGGGGTTCAGGGTATGCTTTAATATACAATGTGAAATGCTTACATTGAATTAAGTAACACATCCATCACAATTATACTCATTTCTTTTTTTTTTTTTTTTTGAGACAGAGCCTCAAGCTGTCAC